TGAGTTTAATGATGGTGGTGGTGCTGGGGAAAGGGCATCTGATCAGGCTCAAGGGTTACCCCACTGCATTCCCACTTGTATAACTTTCCTGACCTATTGCCAATTGATGAGCTTAAGTGGGCTATAAATGACCACAGGGGCCCCATCCCACTGCTGCCAGTATTAGCCCAGAGGTGCTTGGAGGAACTCAGTCTGCAGGGAGAATGAGAAGCAGTCTTGGAGGGATTGCTTATAGATGCCCCATTCAAAATTACTAGTTAAGCAGTGTATATTTCATATTCCACAGTCCTCCCCTTGCTGCCAACTTCCTTCCCTGCAATTCACCATTCCACAACACCCTCCTAGCCAATAACCTGTCCATCCTGTGATCCCTCCACAATCGAAGCTCTCAGCTGGTATTAGTACTGGCAGCAGCCATGATCTCTGGTGGCGCTGCTGAGTATAGGAGGGCAGTCAACTTTTGATTGGCCAGTGGCTCTTGGAGGGCAGGACCTCTTTCTGCGGGGTCCTTGATCCATGGAGATAAACCTGTCACTGGCCTGGCAAAAGCCCCAAGATGTGAGCCATCCCATAAACAGCCAACATGGGATCTCACTGGTTTGTCCCGCTGGTGGCCAACATCCCCACTGTCACAACAAGATTCCATCCAGTAAGTGCCCAGGTGGATGACAGCAGCTATCGGTGCCCTCATCACACCTCCTCGCCATCCACAGCTTATAGCCCTCCAGTTTATTATAGCTGGCACCTTCTTTATTTCTAGTACTTTCCAACCATCAGGTGCACACCTTGGTTGCACCTTGCCAACAGCTGCACGCCATCTTGCATCTCACTGGGCAACAACCTTTGTCAGAGCTGGACAACGCATTCAAATGAAGACAGACATGAATATATGAAGGACATGGCACATTGGGCCATCATTGATGGACTGCCCCACATGTTGGAGAAATTGCACTGATGTGACCAATCGAGGCACTGCACCTGGTAATGAGATCCATGAACAAGAGAGTTCCAAACTACAACTCCTCTGCAACTACAATTTTGTATGTGTTCACCTTCCAGGCACCTTCTGAGATTCCTTCACCTTACAGCAGCCTACACTTCCTCAGATCTTCACTTCAACCTTCAAAATGAGTGGATGCTTCCTAAAGTGCTACTCACCCCCTTACAGAAAGGGCAAGACAGAGGCAATTCAGACTTTCTCAGTAAACCAACCAATGAGAAGACCATCGTGCTTCCGACATTGTGTGGTCTGGTTGGGTTGTGATCTCCATTACTCTCCAGAGAGAGTCTCATTGTGGTCGACTGCTGTCTTCTCCAGTAAATCACAGCTCATGGGATTCATCTGTTTACACACCCACTGGCTCAAAGTGAACACAAGAGCCCAACTGTATCTATTAAAGGGTTTTCCCCACATTAAAATCAGAACTTTAATCCACCATCCTTAACTGGACTGGCCGACAGCCGACTCCAGGTTCACAGTCATGTGTTTGACTCTGAACTCTAAAATGGGCATTAAGCCATTCAGTTCAAGGGCAATTAGGGATGGCCAATAAACATTGGTACGGCCACATCCCGTGAAAAGAATAAAAGAAAGTACAATGTGAACAATTACAACTCCAATTCCAAATTCAGTAGTAGTGCCTCACCCTTGCTCCCATTCTGTCAATATTGAGCCAGCCAAAATTACAAAAACAAAACTAGCAGCAAAACAAGTATTCCAAACTAAGTGTACAAATGATAACAAGTCCTGCAGTATTCAGTAATCACACTTGTGCATTTACTTAGTGCCCATTTTCTGCCCGTCCTTGTCTGTTTTTTTTTACAATTCACTTGCGGGGTGTGGGTGTCGCTGGCTGGCCAGCATTTATTGCCCGATCCTAGTTGCCGTTGAGGAAGTGTTGGTGAGCTGCCTTCCTGCTATGCAGTGTTACCACAATAGCTGCAGTCTGGCTGGTGAAAGGTTGTGGACTTTCACAGGGCAGGCTGCACATGGCATTGGAGGAGGATTTCATGTAGCTTGGAAGGCCTGGCTGCAGCCTGCACCGTCTTATTATTGGGGACAGCTTTCGGGATTGGCTGGCTGAGGGGCAATATAAATAAAAAGGGCATTGGAATGGAAGGGGTTGGAGAACGAGCACCGACATCCTGAGAGGGGAACAGCAGATTCATGCTTCATGAAGCCTTTCTTCTTTGGGAGGGCCTAAGTGACCTGCTTGGGGACTGACGGATACACTGTTTCGATAGCCTGGCAGGCCCATTTTAACATCGTGATCCAAAGTTCTGTCAACAGCAGCTAGATATTCCAATGCAGCGTTCTGACACAGAGTTGTAGTTGCTAGAACAGCCAGACATTGCATTACAGTTGAATCCAAAATAAAGAGTGTGCATACACAGTTATTCACCATGTCCAGATTGAAAAGGTGCAGTGCATACTCTGAAGGTGGTACTGGACTGTAGCTTTCTGACCACCTTCCCAATGCACTCAGTGTTTTGCTGTGCACATTGGTTAGCTTTCTTCGGCAGGCTGTCCATCAAACGTTGCCACCCGAGTCCACTGCAACTGGACCCTAACCCCAACCCTAACCCTCTGACAAGCTGGCAATTGCACTATCCTTACCCAGGGGCATTGGCTTCAGCCCACTTACACCCAATGTCTCACCACAAGCAGAATTCACCTCCAATCCTCATCTTGGATCCAAGTGACATCCCCTTTTTAAAACCTTACCCCCTATTTCTAGACTCCCCAACCACACGAAACATCTTACTTGCATCTACTCTGATTATCCCTTTAAAGAATTTTGTAAAATTCAATGAGACCACCATTCATTCTTCAAAACTCTCCGGAATGAAGGCTCACTTTCCGCAAATTCTCTTCATAGGGCAGTCCTATTATCCTAGGAATAAGTCTGGTGAACAATTATTGCATTCCTTCCATGGAAAGAAGATCCTTCCTGAGATAAAAATGAGGCTAAAACTTCGTAGTACTCTAGGTGAGGTGTAAGCTGCTCTAGTATGGAGGCAAGCTTCACTACTCCAACATTATTGGTGTTTGTGGATTGCACAGAGATTTCAGGAAGCTGGCTCCAGTTAATCACCAAGGACCAGCTGTTTATGTCTTTTAAAATTTCATTTGATTTGACTTATTGTCATGAGTACCTATGTACAGTGACAAGCAGTACAGGCAGATCATAGTAAGCAAGGACATACAGATCATGGGGTGAAAAAAACTTGGGCAGAGGCATACAGGTTACATCAGACAGGCCGTGCACTAGGCAAAATTGACATTGACAAGATCAGCATTATTTGAAGTTAGAGTCCATTCATCTGTCTAATAATGGCTGCGAAGAAGCTGTTCTTGAACCTGCTGGTGCATGTGTTCAGGCTTCTGGATCATCTGCTGGAAGAGGTTGTAGGAAATCATTACTGGGGTGGGATGGGTCTTTGATGATGTTGGCAGCTTTTGCGCGGCAGTGAGACATGTAAATGGAATCCATGGAATAGAAGGTTCGCTTCCATGATGGTCTGGGCTGTGTACGCAAGCTTCTGTATCATAATATAATAAAATTGTAATAGTAGCCACTACTCTTCCCTTTAGAAAGTCAAATTTGTTCTCAATGTAGCTCATAAGATGGTCTTATGGAACAGGGGATGGCATCCTTGCCTCTGAGCCAGGAGCTCCACATACAAGTTCCACTCCAGGACTTGACAACCGAAGTGATGTGGCCAAGCAGATAAATGCATCCACCAGATGCCAAAGGCAGGTTGTAAGCACAGAGGAAGATCCCTCGTCAGACATATGATGGAAAACAATGGGAAAGCCTCTAGCATCACTATCCAGCAGTCCACACTAAAACATGTAAAAAATGCTGTTGTCACAGCAATATAGAGTTCCTGAATGACCGTTAACACACACAGATAAACCAGTTCATCCGAGTTAGTATATGAAACCATGTAATGAGTGGACAAGTCTGATATTTAATGTGCCATCCCTATTTAATGTAACATAGCAAGCAAAAGGGAGCATCAGATAATTGGTGTTTCATTCTAATCTTTCAAATCAGAAGAAAAACCATTTGTTCCAGTACAAAAATCCAAGGCCCAAAGACTTACAATGGACAACTAAAACTGTCTACAGCACTTTCAGTCAAACAACACTATTTGTATTTCCAACTTGGGCGGACATTTTAAAACCAAATTTGGTGGTGTTCCCTTCCCTTACTAACATTAAAGAACGTCAGTTCTAAAGTTTTATGATGGCATTAAGTGGTCCCCCACACCTCTATCACATGCCTCCGATAAGATATTGCTAACTAACTCCACAATTAACTGATATGATCAGTGTTAGCACCAAAAGCCTTGGCAACAGCCCTACAGATAGAAACACCAGAGATAAATGGGGAAAAAATGCAAGTGAATGTGGGAACAAAGACTAAAAGTAAATATTTGCAAGACAGCCAGCAGCAATGTTGGGGGGGCTTAAGTGCCAGAAGAATCTCCTTCCAATTGTGCTGTTCTTTTTTTACAACACTGTTCATCCAAAATATCTTCCAGCTCGCAGGAAGGCTCCAAACCTGAAGGATTAACCTTGAAACTGACTGTTCACCCTGCTGAAGTTGACTAACCTGCAAAGTGTTTCTACATTTCCAACATCTGCAATACTTTACATTTTGAATGTATACAGAGCTAGAAAGTTGTGTAGTGACCAGTCAAAACATGGATGCACTGTGGGGAGGTGACAAGCTGCTCGCAGGAGCACTGCTGGCTAAGGGAAATCTGGATTAGGCTCTTATCTTCAGGTTCCTGGTAGTGACAAAATGCTCAGGGATGGCATTTGTGTTTTGGTGACCTTAGGATTGCTTAAACTCAACATCAGCTCAATGTGATGAGTTAATTTGACAACAATAAAGCAATAATTGCAATTTCATTCCTTGAAATAAAAAGACAAATACTTTTGATTGCACAGATGGCAGGCCAATTGTAATCTTGCATGGATCAATTACCTTCAACAGCATCTTGAAGTTTATCAAATATATGATCATAGTTTTTATTGTCTTGTGCTCCAACCTGCAAGATTAACATAGGGTTAGGAAAATGTCAGAGGTAAAATAAGAAAAACTAAACTATACTCGCCTTGAACCTACTCATTTCCAGTTTGAAGTGTTACACACAGTCCATACTGAATCTGATCCTGGGACTAGCTTGGCTAATTATTTCTAAGAAGCTGTCCCCTTTCATTTTGATCATCTGTCTGTTTTGATAGTCAGTCCAATTTTAAGCACAGGTGGCTGATTTTTCTGGGTCATCAGCTGAATGAAAGCAAGAAAGTTTGCATCAAGTGTGAAATATCTTCACAGCTGAGCTTGTCACCAAGGAGAACAGGATTGTTTTCCATCAGGCAAAACAAGGTAACCTCCCCTGACCTCTCCAATCCACACGGCTGTGGGCTGTCAGCTCACGACTTAACACGATCATCAGACCCTATCAGACAGGACATTGGAAATATTATTCTTGCTGTAATCAGTTAAATAGACATCAACTACTGATATTACAGAAAAGATCCATTGTGAGATGCCAGCAGGGAGAACCTGCAATAATTTCTTTACCTTGAAATTGCACATTTTGTAATGATTTTGTTTTTAAAACGCATTTTTTAAAATTTATTCATCTTGTGAAGTGGTTTCAAATGAGGAAAGACATTATTAATAAAGTTAATTTAAACTTCTGGTAAGGATGAGAAAACACCCATTAAGTGCAGGCTGCATGTGAGGAATTAATGTGACTTACAGTCATCGAGTTGTGCAGCAAGGAAACAGGCCTTTTGGTCCAACTCGTCCATTCCTACCAGATATCCTAAACTGATCTATTCCCATTGCCAGCATTTGGCCCACACCCCTCTAAACCCTTCCTATTCGTGTACCCATCAGATGCCTTTTGAATGATGTATTTTTACCAGCCTTCACTACCTCCTCTGGCAGCTCCCATCAATATTTCCCCCACCCTGAGAATGAACTAGAATGTGAGCTAGAATGTTGTCACTTATATTGCAATGAACATCATTCACTTTCAAATAACTTGTTAAAAAGAACTAAGCAAAAATTTCAGTCAGGAGTCAAGATAGGGTTGGGTTCTTCAATTATCTTTAAACTACCCTTCATACAGAATACTCTATACCAATAGCACACAGCCACTGCACAACAGCAATAACTTGTTGTTATACAGATTCTTTAGGGAAAACATCACCGAACAACCTTTATAGAAACATAGTCAAAATCAAATTTGACACCGGACCAAAGGGATTTTAGGGCATAACAAGGTGTAGAGCTGGATGAACACAGCAGGCCAAGCAGCATCAGAGGAGCAGGAAGGCTGATGTTTCAGGCCTAGACCCTTCTTCAGAAATGGGGGAGGGGAAGGGGGTTCGGAAATAAATACGGAGAGAGGGGGAGGCGGATAGAAGATGGATAGAGGAGAAGATAGGTGGAGAGGAGACGGACAGGTCAAAGAGGCGGGGATGGAGCCAGTAAAGGTGAGTGTAGGTGGGGCGGTAGGGAGGAGATAGGTCAGTCCAGGGAGGACGGACAGGTCAAGGGGGCGGGATGAGGTTAGTAGGTAGGAGATGGGGGTGGGGCTTGAGGTGGGAGGAGGAGATAGGTGGGAGGAAGGACAGGTTAGGGAGGCGGGGACGAGCTGGGCTGCTTTTGGGATGTGGTAGGGGGAGGGGAGATTTTGAAGCTTGTGAAATCCACATTGATACCATTGGGCTGCAGGGTTCCCAAGCGGAATATGAGTTGCTGTTCCTGCTACCTTCGGGTGGCATCGTTGTGGCACTGCAGGAGGCCCAGGATGGACATGTCGTCTGAGGAATGGGAGGGGGAGTTGAAATGGTTCGCGACTGGGAGGTGCAGTTGTTTCGTGTGAACCGAGCGTAGATGTTCTGCAAAGTGGTCCCCAAGCCTCCGCTTGGTTTTCCCAATGTAGAGGAGGCCACAACGGGAACAGCGGATGCAGTATACCACATTAGCAGATGTGCAGGTGAACATCTGCTTGATGTGGAAAGTCTTCTTGGGGCCTGGGATGGGGGTGAGGGGGGGGAGGTGTAGGGGCAGGTGTAGCACTTCCTGCAGTTGCAGGGAAAAGTGCCGGGTGTGGTGGGGCTGCAGGGGAGTGTGGAGCGGACAAGGGAGTCACGGAGAGAGTGGTCCCTTCGGAAAGCAGATAAGGGTGGCATCCAGCTCTACACATTGTTATCTCAGATTCTCCAGCATCTGCAGTTCCTACTATCTCTGAAAGGATTTTAGGGCAGGTGGCTAAAAGTCTGCTAAAAGATTGCTTTAAAGGAACATTTTAAAAGAAAGAAATGCAGAGAGGCAACAGAATGCTGAGTTCTTTGAAAAATTACACACACATTGAATTGTGAGAACAAAGATTGGCATTTCTTAATTTCACCGAGTGAATAGAATTGAATTGACTTGAGGCAGACATCTGTAATGATGGGACGTGTAGGAAGAGGCTGAGATGGATCATCCATTTTGCACCTCAGTTAGAAGAGGTTTGAGAGTGCTTAAGCCTTGTCATTTGCACTGATGTGCTAGGTTCCTTTAACATTGGAGGATGGGGATATCTGTGACTACTCCTCTGGTTAGTTGCTTAATTATCTGCCATCATTCACGACTCTGGAGTTTATGTCTGATCTGTTGGTTGGGCAATTACAAAGTATATACTGTTTATGCGGTGAGGAGGGGATGCAGTGTTGGTCAGGGAGACATGAGAAACATTGCCAAATTATGGGAGGTGTGCTTTTAAGGATGTAGGAATGGTTTGAAAACCTCTATAATTTTAAAGAAGCAAAATTGCAGACACTTTATAAAGGTATGCAGCAGAATAAAAATAGTTAAACTTAGGTGGTATTTCAAGCTGATAATGCAAAACAACAATGGCTTTACTGAATGTGGAAAGAAAAAAAAAGAAAGAGTAATAAAGTGGGAAATTGTGTAGGAAGGAGTAACAAACATAAGTCTGAAACATTGCAGGAAGAGAAGAAGACAGTATACATTGAAGAAACTGATAAGTGCAAAGTAATTGGACTTTAAGCGTTATTTCTTATTAAAAAGTGATCTCCTACGGAAGATTAAATAAAGCCTTGATAGCACTTTACCTGAAGGAATATTGCCAGAACAGCGAGACCATCTGCTTCCTGTGCTGCATTGGCCAAACTTTCATACTTGGCAGCAAAATGAACAACGTGCATCTGCAGAAATAAGCAGTACATAAAGAACACCAGTGCAAGGAACAGGATTAGGCAATTCATCCCCAAATATAATGATTCCAGCCACTGTCTTTACAAGAGTTTGATCCAGGACATTTCACAGAATTTTAGAAACTAGAAGTGTGAGTAAGCTGTGTGACCTACCAACCCTGCTCTGCCGTTCAAAAGCATGATGACCAATCCTCTGTCTCAATGCCATATTCCCACTTTCTCTCGATAGTGTAAGATGCCTTTAAACCCTAAAAATGCCTCTTTTTTTGAATATACTCATGTAACTTGGCCTCTATAGCCTTTTGTGGTGGAGAATTCCGTGCATGTGTGTGCGGGCGTGTGCATGTGCGTGAAGAAATGCTTCCTTATATCTGTTCCAAATTACTTAACCCATATCCTGCGACTGTATTCCCTGCTGCCCAGCTGGTTACAACTTTATATGTTTCAATCAGATGCCCTCTCATTCCTCTAAACTCTAATGAATAGAAGTGCAGGCAAAACAATCTCTCCTCATAGGACACAGTAGTTAGCACTGCTGCCTCACAGCACCGGGGACCCAGGTTTGATTCCACCCTCAGTTGACTGTCTGTGTGGGTTACCTCCAGGTGCTCTGGTTTCCTCCCACAGTCCAAAGTTGTGCAGGCTAGGTGGATTCACCATGTTAAAATTGCCCGTAGTTTTCAGGGATGTGTAGACTAGATGGGTTACAGGGGGATGAGTCTGGGTGGGATGCTCTGAGGGCCAGTGTGGACTTGTTGGGCCGAAGGGCCCGTTTCCACACTGCAGGGATTCTATTAAAAAAAAGGACAGTCCTGCCATCCCTGGTATCAGCCTAGTGAACCTCTGCTGCACTCCCTCAATGGCAGGTATATCCTTTCTTAGGTAGGGAGACCAAAACTGCATGCTATACTCCAGGTGTAGTCTCAGTGAGGCCCTGTATAGCTGGAGTAAGATGTCTCTATTTCTGAACTCAAATCCACTTGCAATGATGTGTGAGAAATGCAGGAACAGGTTATTGAATTGGACGATTAGCCAAGCGCATAATAATGGCAGAGCAGATTTGAAAGTCCTATTCCTGCTCCTATTTTCTCATTCTATGAATCGGTTATATAATGCCTGCGTGACAGCTAACTGCACTTGCAATGAAGGCCAAGGTGCCATTTTTCTTCTGAATCACTTGCAGTACCTGCCTAGCTACTTTCATTGACTGATGTACGAGATCCCTTTGTACATCTACAATTCCCAATATTTCCCCACTTAAATAATACCTGGCATGTTTTCACACTGAAGTGTATAACTTCATGTTTATTTATTCATTCACCTGATTTTCAGGGTGGGGGAATTAACATGGGGTCTTAAACTAAACAACATCTTATCTTGCTCAAGGAGTGCAGCAGTTTCCTGTTTTCACAGCCTTAGAAAGTCATTATTTATGGACACTGTGGAAATTGCCTTCAAATAAAATATATAGAAAGCTACTTAGTTAACTCATCTTGCTGCTAAGAAATTGAAGAAGCTGCATCTGAATTCATCTATTGTTTGTCAGCAAGTTTTCTCAAATTCTTCCAGATACATATTAATACAAAGAATTACTTTTGAAAATCTGAGATGCAGCTTGGACCCTGCATATCACAGCTATGAAGCAAACAGAAAATACTTTAAAACAGTGAGGCAGCATTCATGGATGTTTCTCTGACAACAGACGTGTCTATGTGTTTCCAATATTTTGTGCTCTTACTTTAGATTTCTGATATCTGCATTATCTTGTTTCTTCTTTCACCTAAGTAATGCTGGAAGTTTAGAAGTCACAGCTTGTGAAAGGTTATATTATGCAGCAAAGGTGCTAGCTTAATACTCAGCAGAACATCTAGATTTCAGAAACTGCCTTGCCAATGTCCATCATTCTAATATTTTATTCAAACTCAGTAAAACGCTAAACTGTCAGTACAGTTATGCATAATTTATAAATAAACAGTTGTTTTGGTTGTATAAAACTGGAGTATTGCTGAAAAAGGATTGGACAACAATTGCTAAAAAGTCCTGATTGTGCCAAGAATTATGCTGATAACCAGTTCATGATTGTTACTCTGTGTGACACACATTGTAATCTCCTGTGCAGGCAGAGTACTCTGCTCTTTGCGGACAAAGAAAAATGAGCCCACTTTTCCAATTGGAATAGGCACACGGAAAAGGTGGCAGCCATGCTCCCTGATTCTTCTTCGGGGCAATTCTTTAAGCCAACAGGGTCAACACACTGGGTTCAAACTTAAACAATGTGCAGCAGTTAGCTATAACGCATGCATTATATAACTGATCCATAGAATGAGAAAATAGGAGCGGGAATAGGCCCTTCAAATCTGCTCTGCCATTATTATGGGCATGGCTAATCGTCCAATTCAATAACCTGATCCTGCATTTCTCACATATCCTTTGATCCCTTTTGCTCCACGTACTATATCCAACTCCTTCTTAAAATCATTCAATATTTTGCCATTGACTGTTTTCTGTGCTAATGAATTCTACAGGCTCACTCTGGGTGAAGAAATGTTGCCTGATCTCAGTACTAAATGGTTTACACTGTATGTGACAGTGTAAACCATTTGTAAACCAGTGTAAACCAGTGACATACAGTGTACACTGTATGTAGACAGTGACCCCTGCTTCTGGACTCCCCATCACTGCAGGCATCCTTCCAGCATCTACCCTGTGTAGTCTTTCAGAATAGATTTCTACGAAATAATTCTGAACTCCAGTGAATCCTAGTCAAACAAATTCTCCTCATATATCTCCGCTGCACTGCCTCCAAAGCAAGAATATCCTTCCTCAGATAAGGAGGCCAAACCTGCACACAATATTCTGGGTGTGGTCTCACCAAGGCCCTGTACAATTGCTGCAAGGTATCCCTGCATCTTGTTGCTATCAAGGCTAACATACCATTTGCCTTCTTTACTGCCTGCCGTACCTGCGTGCTTATCTTCAATGACTGGTGTATGAGGACACCCAGCACATTTCCCTTTCTCCGATAGAAATCTGCTTGCCTGCTACCAAAGTGGATAACTTCACATTTAATCACATTATTGTGCATCTGTCATGTACTTACCCACTTGCTAAGCTTATCTAAATCACACTAACTCATCTCTGCCCTATCCTCACAGGTCATCCTTCCACCCAGCTTTGTATCATCTACAAGTTAAAATATTACATTTAGTTCCCTCATCTAAATCATTAGTATATATTGCGAATAGCTGGGGTCCTTACCCTGATTCCCACAGTACCCCACCAGTCACTGCCTGCCACTTGAAGAAGAACCGTTTATTCCTACACTTTGTCTCCTGTCTGCCAGTTTTCTATCCATCTCAATATACCATCCTCAGTCATGTGTTTTAAATTTTAGTCTGATATGTGGGACTTTGTCAAGAGCCTTTTGAAAGTCCAAATAAACTATACCCACCGATATCCCCTTATCAACCCTACTAGTTACATCCTTCAAGGGTTCCAGTAGATTTGTCAAGCATGATTTCCCTTTCACAAATCCATGCCAACTCAGTTTGATCCTACCATTTTCTCTGCCAAATGCTCTGCTATTAAATCTTTTAAAATAGACACTGACAGTTTTCCCACTATCAATATCAGACCCACTGGTCTGTAGTTCTCAGTTTTCTCTCTACTTCCCTTTTTAAAATAGTAGGGTTGCATTAGCTACCCTCCAAACTATACAAACTTTTCCATAGAATCTTAAAAGATGACCACCAATGCATCCATTATTTCTAAGACCACTTCCTTAAATACTCTGGGATATAGATTATCACAGCCTGGGGATTCAGTCTTCAATCTCAGTTTCCCAACACCATTTCCCTACTGACCCTGATTTCCTTCAGTATCTCCCTCTCACTAAATCCTGTGTTCTCCAACATTGCTGGTATGTTATTTGTATAATCCTTTGTGAACACAGAACCAAATGTACTTAGTTGGTCAGCCACTTTTACAGGCAATTTTTTTTGTTCGCCACAAGCTTACTCTCACTCTACTTTCCCTCTCTCAATCCATTCCTTTGTCATTCTCTCCTGAATTCATAGAAACATAGAAACACAGAGAGAGGAGCAGGAGGAGGCCATTCAGCCCTTCAAGCCTGCTCCACCATTCTTCATGATCATGGCTGATCATCCAACTCAATAGCCTAATCCTGCTTTCTCACCATAACCTTTGATCACATTTGCCCCAAGTGCTATATCTAGTCACTCTTGAATACATTCAATGTTTTGGCATCAACTACTTCCTGTGGTAATGAACTCCACAGGCTCACCACTCTTTAGGTGAAGAAATGTTTCCTCATCTCCGTCCTAAATGGTGTACCCCGAATCCTCATATTGTGACCCCCGGTTCGGGACACACCCACCATCGGGAGCATCCTCCCTGCATTAACCCTGTCCAGTCCTGTTAGAATTTTATAAGTCTCTACGCGATTCCCCCCTCATTCATTTCAACTCCAGCAAAAACAATCCTAACTTAGTCAATCTCTCCTCATACCGAAGGCCAACATACCATTCACCTCTGAAACTGCTCCCACTCCTCAGGTCTGTTAGTTTTTTTCTGGCCAATTTTTACGCCTCCCCCTTAGAGCTAATACTCTCTAATTTCTCTGTAAGCCACAGTTTGGCTACCTTTTCCATTTCAACTTTTGCACCATTAGGACTGAACAATTTTTGTGGCTAACTTAAGTGCTCTTTGAATGTTTGCATTGGCTTTCCACAGTCATCCCTTTCAGTAACGCTCCCCAATCTATTAAAGCTAACTTGTGTCCTATACCATTGTCAGTTCCTCAGTCTAGATTTAGGACTCTAGTTGCAAAATCAAATACGACCATTCTCTATGGCAATACCTCTGCCAATCAGAGTCAGCCTGCAGTTCATTAACATGTTCGTCTCATTCAATATTAAAAAAATGTACATCTGGTATTCTTGTGAATTGTCTTGTATTGTTGGAAGACAAACAAACTTCAAAAAAAAATCCTAAATTCAAAGAACTTTGATGGCATTCACCATAAAATGGTAAGCAATACTTCACTGAAATGAAGAATTTAGTTGTAGGTCAATTTCTTAAATTAGAGTTTGCACATGCACAGATGCATTTACAACAAGGAATGCACACAAACCATTCCTCCTGCATAGCCATTTTGACAATGAACTATCTCACAATCAAAAGGAAGACAATATCTATATTCTTCTTGTTTGTGACACAGTGTTCTCTTAGCAAATCACATCACAGGACAAGAACAGGGAATTCAGATTTCCCCAAAAAAATCCCTAAACATTCTGTATAATGTTGGCTTCAGGCCAGTGTGAATTGTGCTGGAGGATGTCTTTTAGCTAAAGCCAGGCTGAATGAAATTAATTGTCAGATATATTCCAAACTTTTAGCATCTGTTAAAATAATCAATGGGAAATTATTCCAATATTAACTATAAATCATCAATGACCACTGGCCATGGTAGCAACCACGGTGCATCTTACAGTTGGCGAAGAGTACAGTCACAGAAATACCTTTCAAAGACCAACCACTGCTGCCTCAGTGCCAGGGACCCAGATTTGACTCCGGCCTTGGGAAACGGTCGGCATAGTATTTGTACATTCTCCCCGTGTCTGCGTGGGTTTCCTCTGGATGCTCCAGTTTCCCCCCACACAGTCTAAAGATTAGGTGGATTAACCATGCTAAATTGCCCATATAGCGTCCAGGATGTGCAGGATAACTATGGGTAATATAGGGTTACAGGAATAGGGTAGGGGTGTGGGGTCTGGGTAGGATGCTCTTTGGAGTGTTGGTGTGGAGTCGATGAACCAAATTGCCCAATTTCACACTGCAGGGATTCTATCCTTCTAAGATAACATCATGCTGCAATGCTCTGTTTCTTTGCATTGGCTTTCATTGATCTAGTAGTGGTCTAGCCCATAACTAGAAAATTATATTTAAGTAAGTTTCATTTAAAAAATGAATCCAAATGCAAAATAGTTACTGAAATTGTAATGAATTAACAAAATAATCACCAACATTTGCATAGTAAATAAACAAAGGCTGATAGTATTACCTCAGCAGCATACTGGGTACCATCCACTGTATGCTCGGATCCCGGACTGGTGTCTGATCCCCAGTGAAAATGCAGCTGAGATGCTAGATACTTCTGCTTGAAACCATGGCTTATGCTCATTGAATCCGGGAGTGAAAGTTGAACTTGAGGAAAAACAAAAACCACAACAGTGTTATGATCCTTTTATACTAAACCAGATGGAATCATGAGAGAGTGTTGTCTTACACAACTTCAATCAACATTACAAAGCAGCACAAATTGGTGCCTAGAGTTACATTCCTCACACCTAAGGTTCAGCTTAGGATAGTGAGAGTCTTTGTAATCAGCAAAAAAAAACCATGAACAAGGGAATTGCTGTGTTCAAATAAAGGATATTTCGCAGAACTTAGAAAATATTCACAAACAATTCATTCTTATGTTTACAGCCATTAACAAACTCTTACATAGAGTTTAGGGTAGAGTAGAACACGCTATCTATCCCAACAGGACAAGTATATCAAGCAAAATACTGCACATGATGGAAATCTGAAACAGACAGAATGCTGGAGAAACTCAGCAGGTCTGGCAGCATTTGTGGAGAGAAATAGTTAATTTTTCAAGTCTGGTATGACTCCTCTTCAGAATGGAAAGATGTTGAAAAATGAATTATCTTGTATATGTTTGACAGAGGCAGAGGAGGACCAAGAGGACAAGACAGTATGGAGGCCCAATGCAAAAGGCAAAGGGATTGTTAAAAGTATAGAAAAAAGTGAAAAGGGTGTAAATTATTGTGTGAAAGGGAGAGAATTTGGCCTAAGTGCAAAGTAAATAAGATAAAAATATGACATGGCTGTGGAGCATGGTGGTGGTAGGGGAGAATAAATGAGAAAAATTGAGGGCAGACATAAAATGACTAATTTCGGAGCTATTCAATTCAATGATGAGACCTCGATAAATGGCCTATAGAACAAGTATCTTTTTTAAAGCAGTGTCCATTTGATACTGTGGCCAGCAGTAATTAATTGGCTTTGTTGGAAACCTGTGACCAAAACAAAATAGAAAAAAAATTAACTTGGCCAAACAGCAAGGAATGCTGGGTACATTGGCCAAGTAAAACTCTGAAGTCACAAAACCCACACACCAGACAGACAGACAGACACAGTGCAAACACAGTGGCCAGGTGCTAACTGATATTAACATAATGTAAAAGACAAGTGTTATTCTGACAGACATATCCCCAGCAATTCATCCACCAAAGGAGGGACCAGACAGAAAGGCACAGGGTCTTGCTACACAAAAGAAACAAACAGTAGCATGGTATCCAAATGACTGGCATTGTTTCAAACTGTATTATGTGAGTTTTCCTGATTAGTCAGAACTAGAGAAAGTTTCAGAAAACTATCCAAAAAAGGAATAAAAACGGGGTTCACCTGCAGACTTCTCTCTTGGAGCCTCTTGGGTCTTCTGAGGAAACAAGCATGCCAAAGGCAGAGACCCACTGACCATCCAGAGAGAGAAGAGAGAAAGCAGCTTTGCAGTCCCACAGAGACACAGAGACAGCACACCACGGGTATGCAAATCTACAAGAGACTCGGGTAGTATTGCAAACTTAAACAGCTGAATAGGATTAGAGATAGTATTGTTTTGTAACAAAAGCTATTGTAACTTGTTTCCTAATCAAGTTGGGACTGTTTTGCATCAGTACTGGGTTAGTGTTTGTATTGATTTGACCACTTCAGTATTGTGGGATAACTGGGTAAATTCATTCATAAATACACTGGTTGGAGTTGTCAGACTTGTTTTAAGGAGGAACTAGACAACAGTTCTATCTGTTTAATTAAAATAAATGTAGATGGCAAACATACTTTCAGTAGACACATTGCCTCCTGACACTGGAATTGCCAGAGTTACACCATTCAATAAGGGAGGGGACAGAAAACAAACAGTTGTACGCCAGATAGCTCGACTTCAGTCATGGGGAAGGTGTTAGATTCAATTAGAGAAATTACAGCTGCATACTTAAACATAAAGTAATGTAATCTGAAGGAGTCAGGAACAAAAATCAAAGTTACTGGAAGATCTCAGCAGGCCTGGTAGCATCGGAGAAGAAAAATCAGAGTTAACGTTTTGGGTCCGGTGACCCTTCCTCAGAACTGATGGTAGCTGGGAAAATGTCGATGTATATCCAGAAGGTAGGGTGAAGGGAGGTGGGTAAGGAGTAAACGATAGATGGGGATACAGCCCAAAGAGAGAAGAACAGTTGGGTAGACAAAGGAGTTTATAACGATCTGGCTAAGAGGGTGAATAGCTGTTAATGGAAACTGTTAGTGGCTAACAATAGGGAGTGTGTAATGGCAAGCAATGTGATAACAAGGCCTGGTGTGTGGGGCAGGGGGCTGGGACATGGCAGAGTTCAGGTCCTAAAATTATTGAACTCTATATTGAGTCCGGAGGGCTGTAGGGTCCCCAAGCGGAAAATGAGGTATTGTTCTTCCAGCTTGTGCTGAGCTTCGCTGGAACACTGCAGCAAGCCTGAGACAGAAACGTTGGCCAGGGAACAGGGTGGTGTGTTGAAGTGGCAGGCAACTGGAAGCTCAGGATCTTTTTTGCGGGATAGAACATAAATGTTCTGTGAAGCAGTCACCCAATCTACGCTTTGTTTCCTCCTATTGGGCGGGAATTGGAGTTGAGTTGATCCCATTGAATAGTGGAACAGACACAGGGAAGTACTAGATTTTGGATTTAGATTTTATTGTCCAAATCTAAAATTTAATACAGGATTAGACTATTCAAATTGTGGAGGCTGCCCCACCATTCCGTACGATCAGGCTGATCAAAAACTTCAATGCCTTTTATGTATCCCAAACTTATTTACTCCCCATGTTCTATGATGAATTAAAATGCTGTGCAAAGATGAAAACCCCGATTTCACACTTACCTGTGTGTCCGTTATTAGATAAATCAAGCTGTTCAGTTTCCTTTAGATTATATCCTTCAAGAGTGATTGAAGGTAGTTCTTTGTTGACTGTGGTTTTCCCAGTGTCGATATTGATAGGAGACTGTGCATCCCCATTGCAAAGTGGATAGTCTTTGCCCCAGTTTTGATCTGAAGGGAAACAAAGCACACGCCACCATTAGGTATGACTCCTTAAATTAACAGATGGACTGCAAGTGTAGTATTGCTATCAGACATATTTTTGGAGGTTACAGTGTACATAATGAATTCATAGAGTAAAAGTTCCAATTGGAGCAGCTTTTATACAAAAGCTTAACACATTTACACTACATTCTAGTTGACACAGCTATTAATATATTTGAACAATTTCTAACTATATGACTAATATTCTTTTCCAATTAAGAAATAAATTAACAATTGGCACATCAACATGACCACCCATACTCCCAATTAAGAGCTACTTACATTAAATAGATCATAGTGACTCTTACTTCAGTAAACAGTAGACAAAATTACACTTAAAAATTCTATTACTAACTTTAACAACTTTGACAAGTCAATTGGTTGATATTATTAAAAAAGGAAGCATTTCTCCTATTATATTCTAGGAGTTTTACCATCACAAACATCCCCCTTCTTTCCCATCCTGAAGGTGTTGACTCAACTGGAATATAGAAATAAAATTCTAATGTGATGCCCTTCATGCCCATAAAGAAGATATTATAACAACTCCTCAATTAAAGTTAAAGTTAAAGTTAATGGATGGGAGATTGCAGGCTGAAGCAGTATTATTTTGCAAGACAAGCTCTTAGCCAACATTTTGCAAAATTATCACATGGGTGCCCTCTGACTCCATGTACAAATGGTATATTCTCTACATGGTTTGTGATTCTTTAATACAACAGGCCATTTGAATACAGAGAGACCATCACAGATGAACAAGTTTCAACTCTCATCTGAGCTTTTCGATTATAAAAGTCTTACCTCGCGTGACTCCATTTTTGGAGTAAGTGAGGTAATATATTTGGGCGGTTGCTTTACCCGAAACACTACCGAGGTAGTGTCTCCCACCCATCCTCCTCCTCTAACCAAAAAAAAAGGTTCTGAGTGCTGATTTGGTAAGGCTACTAGTTTTTTTTTATTTGTCTGTTTGGGAATTAAGAACAGTGGGAATGAATGTTAGGGCAGTTGTATGCTCCTCCTGTAGAATGTGGGAGGTAAGGGTCACCACTAGTGTCCCCACTGACTTCATCTGCGGGAAGTGCACCCAACTCCAGCTCCTCGGAAACCATGTCAGGGAACTGGAGCTGGAGCTGGATGAACTTTGGATCATTCGGGAGGCTGAGGGGGTAATTGAGAGGAGTTACGGGGAGGTAGTCACACCTCAGGTACAGGAAAAAAGTAGATGGGTTACAGTCAGGGGACGGAAAGGGAACAGGCAGACAGTGCAGGGATCCCCTGTGGCCATTCCGCTCAAAAACAAGTATACCGTTTTGGATACTATTGGGGGGGACGACTTACCAGGAGTAAGCCATGAGGTACAGGTCTCTGGCACAGAGTCTGTCCCTGTTGCTCAGAAGGGAAGGGGGGAGAGGAGGACAGCATTAGTCATTGGGGACTCCATAGTTAGGGGGACAGATAGGAGATTCTGTGGGAACGAGAGAGACTCGTGGTTGGTGTGTTGCCTCCCAGGTGCCAGGGTCCGTGATGTCTCGGATCGTGTTTTCGGGATCCTTAAGGGGGAGGGGGAGCAGCCCCAAGTTGTGGTCCACATAGGCACCAATGACATAGGTAGGAAAAGGGATGGGGACGTAAGGCAGAAATTCAAGGAGCTAGGGTGGAAGCTTAGAGCTAGAACAAACAGAGTTGTTATCTCTGGTTTGTTACCCGTGCCACGTGCTAGCGAGGCGAGGAATAGGGAGAGAGAGCAGTTGAACACGTGGCTACAGGGATGGTGCAGGAGGGAGGGATTCAGATACCTGGATAATTGGGGCTCATTCTGGGGTAGGTGGGACCTCTACAAACGGGATGGTCTACACCTGAACCAGAGGGGTACCAATATCCTGGGGGGGAAATTTGCTAATGCTCTTCGGGAGGGTTTAAACTAATTCAACAGGGGGATGGGAACCTGAATTGTAGCTCCAGTGTACAGGAGGTTGAGAGTAGTGAGGTCATAAATAAGGTTTCAAGGTTGCAGGAGTGTACCGGCAGGCAGGAAGGTGGTTTGAAGTGTGTCTACTTCAATGCCAGGAGCATCCGGAATAAGGTGGGTGAACTTGCAGCATGGGTTGGTACCAGGGACTTCGATGTTGTGGCCATTTCGGAGACATGGATAGAGCAGGGACAGGAATGGTTGTTGCAGGTTCCGGGGTTTAGATGTTTCAGTAAGATCAGGGAAGGTGGTAAAAGAGGGGGAGGTGTGGCATTGTTAGTCAAGGACAGTATTATGGTGGCAGAAAGGACGTTTGATGACAACTCGTCTACTGAGGTAGTATGGGCTGAGGTTAGAACCAGGAAAGGAGAGGTCACCCTGTTGGGAGTTTTCTATAGGCCTCCGAAAAGTTCCAGAGATGTAGAGGAAAAGATTGCAAAGATGATTCTGGATAGGAGCGAAAGTAACAGGGTAGTTGTTATGGGGGACTTTAACTTCCCAAATATTGACTGGAAACGCTATAGTTCGAGTACTTCAGATGGGTCAGTTTTTGTCCAATGTGTGCAGGAGGGTTTCCTGACACAGTATGTAGATAGGCCAACAAGAGGTGAGGCCACATTGGATTTGGTACTGAGTAATGAACCAGGCCAGGTGTTAGATTTGGAGGTAGGTGAGCACTTTGGTGATAGTGACCACAATTCGTTTACGTTTACTTTAGCGATGGAAAGGGATCGGTATATACCGCAGGGCAAGAGTTATAGCTGGGGGAAAGGCAATTATGAGGCGATGAGACAAGATTTAGGATGCATAGGATGGAGAAGGAAACTGCAGGGGCTGGGCACAATTGAAATGTGGAGCTTGTTCAAGGAACAGCTACTGCGTGTCCTTGAGAAGTATGTACCTGTCAGGCAGGGAGGAAGTGGTCGAGCGAGGAAACCGTGGTTTACTAAAGAAGTTGAATCTCTTGTCAAGAGGAAGAAGGAGGCTTATGTAGAGATGAAGCGTGAAGGCTCAGTTAGGGCGTTTGAGAGTTACAAGTTAGCCAGGAAGGACCTAAAGAGAGAGCTAAGAAGAGCCAGGAGGGGACATGAGAAGTCTTTAGCAGGTAGGACCAAGGAAAACCCTAAAGCTTTCTATAGGTATGTCAGGAATAAAAGAATGACTAGAGTAAGATTGGGTCCGGTCAAGGACAGTAGTGGGAAGTTGTGCGTGGAGTCCGAAGAGATAGGAGAGTTGCTAAATGAATATTTTTCGTCAGCATTCACACAGGAAAAAGACAATGTAGTCGAGGAGAATACTGAGATACAGTCTATTAGACTAGACGGGATTGAGGTTCATAAGGAGGGGGTGTTAGCAATTCTGGAAGGTGTGAAAATAGATAAGTCCCCTGGGC